TGGCCACTAAATCCATGTCACCCCATCAGTCTCTGCTCCCACAGTATGTAAATCATCCAACACTCCACTACCTTGGAGTTACTCTTTTGGAATCTTCCTCACTTTTCATAAAATATTTTCAAATGCTCTATTTGTTGCAGTTCAAAGATCCCAAACCTTATTACTTATTACAAACGTTATTGCTTGTCACAGTTCTTGTTCACTGGATGACCACCCTTCAATTACTCTACAGTCTACATCTGAGAATTTTCACCTCGAAAGTCACTCCCTGACCATCACACTAAATACTTCTGAACCCAGCTGAGTTATCAGAGACACACAGAAAGCCTATTAAGTTATAAACATCAGCCATAAAATAAGGAATGATCGAACAGGATCATCTCTCTCTTCAGGAGAAAGCATTTCATGCAGACTTTTCTAGCTAAGCTGGGTTGTGTAAAGGCCAGAGACCTGGACTGCATGTGGAGACTGAGCACAGCCTCCAGCAGGAATGCTGCTTTTGGCAGCCTGGGTGGGGATTTCTGCCTGTGTGGGTGTGTTGGGAATATCCAGCTCAATGCTGTGCCATGTGCACATCTCTTATGAAAATTTTCCAACAGCACAAGGACCAAACATGAATGTTGTTTCAGAAAAATGACTGGAAGACAGTGCTGGTTTTCTTCCATAACAACTATTCATAAGAGTTGCACCTTGCTAACCCACTTTCATCTGAAATCTAAGATCATTAGGGATTTGAAGCTCTCTTAACAGCCCAAAGAAAGTCAGAGATTGAAACGATTTGTACATTTGTTTAGCCATAATATTTTTACTCATATTTCATTGCTACTTATTTCCTGCAACTTCAGCTGAGTAAATCAGAACTTAGCCCCCTCAGGAATTTCTGTTCCTCTGTTTCACCATCACTAAATAAATTTTACTGTTTGCTGTTATTAAACATCCAGAAAGTGAACTGTGGAGCCACGGATACTCCTCCAAGGTATTCTGTACCATAAAAAGATATATAGTACACAGAAAATCCTTCAAATTTAAAAGGCAGACTATAAATTAGGGCTTTTATTCTTCCCACTATCAGATACAGAGCATCACCAAGCTGGCCAGGCCCCAATGAGACACAACCTGTAGTTATTTTATATAGAACTAAGTGAAAATTTTCCATAGATTTAGCTTCTAGCATATCAAGTAGTCATTTTTATCCCAGGAAGAAAGAGCATTAAGATACCTCCAAGGCTGCACAATAATAATAATAAAGAAATATTTATTTCTGTAAACTCTACTTACAACCTTCATTTTTCCATAGATTTTGCTTTATAATTAGACTGCAACATCTGTAAATTTGTATTATATTTGTACTATTCTGTCAGTTTGTATACCTTTAGATAGTGTCTTATCTGTTTAAACAAACCAACTCTTAATTTTGTAACCACCTCTTGTGGAGCGCAAGAATGAAAACATTTATATAAAGGCAGTTAACAATCACAGTAGTTTTGTCCCTCTCCAAAGATATTATGTTGACCATTTTTTTTCTTGTATTTGATGCCTTGTTTGACTACCAAGACAAAAAGAAGGGGGGGGGAATCAACCCTGAATTACACTACAGATTATCATTAGAACATTTTTCAATGCATAGGACAGTAGCAGCAATTTTGCTTAGATGTACTGAACCATGGATCTACCAGACATTATAATCTCTTAGTGGTTAATGTTTGTTGCTTTCAACTCAAATGATTTCTTTCACAGCTAGCAATAAAGTTACATACTGTATTAATTTTCACTGGGTCAATATTAGAAAGCACCAAAGAGAAAAGTTTGTGACTCCTTTTACCAATCTTTCTGCTATTTCAAGTTCCTAAGGTAGAAGTTGAGGAAATATATGGAAGATGGCATAGAAGGATGTAATTTCTGAAATTATTTTAGAGCCAACTGAAAAGGAAGAGAGAATTAGGCACCTGCAGAGATGGAGGCACTGGTATATTTGGAGCAGAAGCACATGAAAAGTGCACAGAGGTCTCAAAAATTTCACATTCTTCATCTTTTACAGAGGAGAGAGGTGGAATTGTACCCTATTTTAATCCCTCTCTCTGAAATGCCAGTGGCCTTAAAATGGTCTTTATCTTAGTGCTTGTAAGATTTTTGCCCAGAAAGTGAAGAGGGAGGGTCATATATTGAGAAATTATTTCCCTGTTGAATGGTCAATCACATCCGTGCTGTTGATTAAGGACTGCTGGCAAACATTAGGCATTTTTGGCTTGTTATTAGGCATCCTTTCATCTGTATGTGTTGGAAATACACTTGCACTGTTGTTTGTGCCTGGAGCATGAATAATGGATCCTGTTTTACTGCTGTCATCTGTGTGGTTCATTATGAGATGTTTATGCAGTGTACAAATTCTTTCTTTTTTCTTACATCAAGCCTGATCCTGCATTTTCTCCTCAGGTAGGAGATCTTTACTGGTATGAGGAATGCAGGCTGCTCAATCATGTTTTCCTTTTCGGGGGATTAAACATGGTTCATCCTGGTTACATCTGACGCAAATCCAAATTTTCATTTATGAATCATTTTTCAGGGTTGCATGCAAAGCATTCGATATTTATTAACAACGACATGATAGTTACTGCACTGGTGGACTTTGGCCCTGGAAAATCTCCACCATGATAGCCATCTTAATTGATTTTCAGGCATGGGCCTTTACCTACTGCCTGTATTTAAAATGGAAAGCTTGGTCCCTGTGCCACTGTCATTTACATTGGGAAGCCCATTATCCCTCAATAACCAAGTCTGACAGCGCTCTGGATGAACACCTGTATTCCACTTAGAAGAGTCCACTTCATTTTCATAATGCATTAGCAGAGTCATGAATCTCTGAGCACTCATTTGGAGGTCCTTATTGATGCAGATTTGTTTATTAAAAGGAAGAAGGTGGACTTGTGAAAGTTGGGACCTCTAAGTCTTGAGACCTGTAGCAAAGCTCAGGTTCTAAGATTCTGAAGGAAGTCTTATTAGAGCAAGTTCTTCTGTGAAGAAGAAAAGAACTATTTTTGTGATCTGTTTTTATCTACAACAAAGATTCACTGGCTATGGCATTTTACTTCCATAACTATGTATTGTTAATGGAATTGAGGGTTCTGTACACTAGAAGAAATATTCAACAGCTAATTATTGAATTTTTTGAGCAACTGGAAAAGAGATGGGCTTTCATGTAGTTCCTCAGTCACTTCCTTGTGTCAAAATTAAATAGAACAAATAACATATCAATGTAAAAAAGGTGATACAAGATTTGGACCTCTTTTCTGAATCCAACTCTGCCATGACCTGCATTTAACATATTTTTCCTACTTTTCCTTAACCCCACATAGCTGAGCTTTTGAACTGTTCATTGCTCCCCCTCTTCACTACATCAGACTGCCCCCAGCCCAGCAGGGATGTGGTACTCTACATGAAAGAGCACATCACACTACCCTGCACAACCTCCAAGGTCCAGCAGGGATTGCAGGTGAGAGGGGCTGGGAGGCAGGACCAGATCATGAGCCCACATGCAAGCAGCAGGTACTCACTGAAGCATCCCTGTAAGTAATTCCTTAGATTACAAACCACTTTGGTTTCAGAAACAGCTCATAACATTATCCAACATATAGTACAGAGAACATTAAAAATTAATATCAATAATAAATTGACTAAGAATGTTTTCATAACATGTAGCAGAAAAAGGAATTGCCTGATGCAGATAAAACTGAGATAGGTTTAATAACACCATTAAAATAAGCTACATAGTGCCAAACTCCTAAAGCACAGATATTTCTTCATGCCAACAAGGAACTACTGATAAAGAGTAACAAACTAAATGCAAAGCTTGACAGTGGTTGCAACCTCTGTGCCTGCAAAATGTAAAACATCAGCCTCCTTGTAGCTGAACGGCACCAGCAGGGTCACTTACCCAGACTGTTCTGGCTAATTACATTTCCTAGGGCAAGAATAAGTTCTAAAAGAATATGATGAGCACAGCTCACTACTGGGATCATGGTTTATATGCAAGTATTAGAAGAATCTCAACTGTGATTCAAAGCATCTCAAGGAATGCACAGAATTTTGAAAAGGAAACAGGCTGAAACCTGTGGGATTCCTGAAGGGTAGCACTATGGAATATACATCTAAAACAGGGAGTAATGGGTAACCACACACCAGGTATATATTTCTCTTGTATGTAGTGCTAAGATGAAATAGAACTATCTCTGTAAATAGGACTTCTCCCACATTACAAAGATGGTCACATAGGCCATTAGTTTCCTGAAGAAGTATGATGAAAAGTATTGCTCTTTCCACTTGTACCTACTGGATTCAGAAGCACAAGAGGGGGCAGGTATATGGCTTAGGTAAGAAGAGACCTTCTTTAAAAGGCCCCTGTCTGATCATATAACCTGTTTCACTTTTCTATTTTAATGATTTTCGTTTCAATGAATATGCACATAGGTGCTTTAGTGATGAGGAGAGGAAAGCAATACTGTATTCCTATAGGAAATATTTTTCCTGGACACATACAGTTCTTTCTGGACTGCCTGAACAACGGCTAATCCTGACTGAAGGAGGGAGGGAAGGAGTTAATGAACTTCTTAATATAATAAACAGAAAAAATACGAAGAATTAAAAAAGTATTAGTATTGTTCAACACTGCTATTATTAAAGATCTTCTTGTAAATCCTGCACAAGAGTAGGGTCATAAACATTTACTATTTTCCATGGTGCAATTTTTAAACTACATTGCTATTCCCTGGAACAATCACCTCTAGCTGCTGCTTACATGGTTAAGCAATTCATTATATGCTGCTAAAACACTGCACAGCCTCCATCAACTAAATGTGTGGCAGCTTCCCTGCACCTGATACACAGAGGTCCCCACTCACTTTGCACTGAAGTTACACGTTAACTGACAAGTGAGAGAGGCGTAAGATTTAAAATCTGGGTTTTGTTTTCCCACAAGGTATTAAAGACAACTTTGTGCAGCAAACCTCAGCATTCAGTCACTTGTGGAAGGAACCTACAGCTGCCTCGATGTTTTGATCAGCAGAACATCAGTGCCTTGTGGCCTCAAAGTCCTCCCTTTGGGGCCAGGGAACCCAAGGCTGAGAACATTCTACTGCATCCCTGAATCCTGCAGCTTTTTGCAAGCTGCAATAGGGCACAAGCTGCTTTATTTTCCAGTATTGTATTTCAGTTCATAGTTTTGAAGAGCTGTTGGATCACTGAAGAGTGAGGTCCTGTGGTGCAGCTCAGAGAATGCCCCTGTTACTCTGCTTGCAATTATCTCTGGGCATCACAGCCTTCTGCTCTGAGGGGGCCTGTGATTGCCAACCAGGACGTTCACCCATCACTGCCACCACTGCCTAGGTACAGTTTAGTGGCATTACAGCCCAACTTGCTGTAATGTCATTGCTGCACAGCCCAGCAGTGCCACTGTGGGTTGAGGTCTGCAGGTATTACTGATATTACCACACTGTTCAAGGGGCCGATAACTTTGCTATTGGAAATTGCACACAGCTAAAGCTCAAAATATAAATTGTCATTCCTCCACTCTTTTAAATAAAGCAAGCTCCCAACCAAAATGACAGATTCTGTTCCAGTTTGACAGCACATCTGTATTTTAAGTGTTTTTTAGGTACCTTCAGGCACTTTTTCGCCCTCTCCATAATAGACAAAAATTTCCCTGTAGGTGCCATGTCTGCCTCTCTGACCCACACCATTCTGAACATCTGAAGGCAGTTCAAAGATTACTTCTGCAATTTAGAGGCCTACACAACCACTGCAACTTCTGCTTCAGGTCAAATATACTTTCTTGAAAGTCTATTTTTGTGCAGCTTGACAACATATAGAAGAATTGGCTTCTCTTACATTTCCCACCAAAAAAGAAAAAAAAAAGCAAAAAAAAAACCTCCGAAAGGCAGTGAGCTCTACATGATGGTATAATTTTGAAGTATTTCTTCTCCATATCTTTCTCTAGAGAAACTTTTGGATACTTTTTTCACTCATTTTTTCAGCCATGTTTCTATACAGTCCTCTGGGCAGATGTTTCACAAATAAGTAGGAGCCAATAGACTTTTACTGAGTTCCTCTGACTGTTAAAAGGTCCTAAGTAACAAATCTAAGTCAAAAAACCCCAACAAATACACCAGACAAAAAATCCTGTCCTTTGGGTCGTATCACTTCCTGGGGTTTCTTAAAGTGTCCTGGTAAGAAAAAAAAGCTTCATCAGTATTGGAGATCAATTAAAAAAACCTTATTCAGTCCTCAAGTCCAAGGGAGCAGAGTGGTTGATACTTCAAAAGAGAAAAGGTGCCACTGAGAGAAAAGTTACAGAGGTTACTGGACTAAACTTTAGTTTCACAAGAAATTTCTGATAAGTCTCTCCTCAAGCAGTAAAAGAAACACAAAAGTTTTGATAAGTTATTGAATCTTAGATTTTTTGTTTCTTTATGAAGTTCAACATTTTTCAAGAGGTTCAACCTTTGTTTTCAATGTGCATCTGAACAAGACAGGAGCAGGTATTGGTTAGCATTTTCTCAAAGACCTCATAAGTGCTTAATAAAAGATGACCCATTTTGTTGTTTATTGTGAAATTATTATATTTTCAAATTAATGTTTAAAAATTCAATTAAAAGCGAATAATTTAAAATATTTTTTCTATTATAAATACCAGTTTCAAAATATGTTTGCAGGAAGTTGATTTAGCAAAAATGTCTTTTTCTTTTAAAGTCAATTTCCTTTTCTTTTCAAAATTATTCTAACGTAAGCATTAATGACCTCAAAATCAACACCACAGTTAAGAGTTCAAACTGTAACCCATGATTGGAAAGATTTGCCTTTCTTAGGGATTTGATACTTTTCAATGAGTGGCTCCTGAGTAAAACAGGGAAAAAAAATAGCACGGAAACTGGTATTTTATTCTAACTCCTACATAATTAGATCTCTACAGTTTTATTCGCAAAATGTCTTGCAGAAAGAAAAGATGGGGCACTGAATGAAGTTACCAGTCATACAAAAATTACTTAATATCAAAACATCAGTGACTTAATTCAATTTAAAGCATTATTGCTTGACTCTCTTTGATACACTCCAGTATGTAATACTACTCACAATTTTGTAAGTTTTATCTGTAAAGAGTGCTCTGGGACTGAAGTCAAGATGCTTACACAGTGCCTACTGCAGCCTAAATGCTTTTCCCATTCCTATTTGCATATCAAGAGAAAAGAAGAAAATCTGATTTAAGCAGGTAAAAAGCAACATAAAACTTCTGTCTGTGCATATAATGAGAATACAGGTTATATTCACTCATGTTCACAGTTTAAAGAAGAAACCCCAAAAGAAACACCTTCAAAACAATTCTGAAGTCCTCATTCTCCCCGTTCCTTTCTTCAATTTTGATTAACACAAACATTTACATAAAAAATAGGATGCTGTTTAGATGGTTTTGTAGTCCATATACTCCTTCTGAAGTTACAACCTTATGCAATATGCTAATTTACACAGCAACCACTTAACAAACACAAACAGTATAAATATTAGGCTGAGGATCAACTGAACTACAAAGAAACAAAAGATCCCACTTTTGTGCAAATTTGGCTAGTACTAAAACAAACAAAAAAGTGAGAGGATACAGAGTTTATGCTGTTAAGCACTGAACTGATATTGAATTTTCCTAAATGCTTTTGCTTTAGAAAATGCTGACTTGTCAGGATCTATGAGTGCATTGATTTCCCAGATCTAGGATAAAACCTTAGAAGTCAGAGACCTTCTCCTTTCCCTTCCTTCCCCGCCCCCAACCCAGCTTCCTGATCCCATTTATCTTCACCCGTTCCCCAAATCCAGCAATCAAAACTGAATCACCCACGGCCCTACAAGAAAGTCTTCACCATTGTACCAACTCTCTGTTTATAATCTCTTTGCTCCAAATCAGGGAAAGTCATCCACTAACTTAGTTCTGGAAACTCTCAATCTGTTTTTCTCAAAATATAAACAGGAAAAAGATTACTTTTAAAATAAAAAACTTATAAAGAAAAGAGTTTGCTAATGACAGTTTTCAAGGATCCCAGTAGCTGATAAACCAAGCAAGATTTTGCAGCGCTCCTTGGAAGCAGAGACAGCTGTAACAGCTTTTGTTCTGAGTTCAGATTCAGGAAGAAATTTGACACAAATAATACCACTTCAGGCTCTGGTTTATGTTTCTTTTGGTTTCAGTGACAGGAACTTAAACAAGACAGATCTGAATCCTCAAGTAATTCATTCTAATCAGCCACCTGCCTTCTCTGTCTGTTTAGACATCCCATATACAGAAGTGGTTACTGAAATAGCCACTCAAGGAAGCACAGTTATCCTCAGACTGTGTCCAGCCACACACTTTGCTCACACAGAGCTTGCAAGACTTAAAACTGATAGAGGAGAAGAAATTAATTTCAGTACTATTAGGGGACATGCCTACAACTTGTCAGTGCATTGTTTAAAATCAGGAGTCATGAAAGCTGGCACACTGGTGAAGTTTTCCTGTGGTTTTGTTACTCGAGATAGACTGAATTTTATTATGCCCAAGAAACAGGTTTCTCCCTGGGAGATGGCATCCACTGCACAGCACTACTCTTCAAAAGCCCTGGGCAGCTCCCATGCAGGAGAGGAGTTTCCAATATGTCCAAATAGAAGCCTGCAGCAGGCACTGCTGATGCTGAGCTCTCATAGCATTCCTCCTCTCAGCAGGGACAGCACCCAGGCAATAATGTGATAGCAGCTGGAAGACCAAAACCAGCCCTGCTGTGGTGTTAGTTGTTGAACAGAAGCTTTCCCTAGGAGGCAGTTTTCACAGTGCTCAATGACTTACATTTTAAAAAGGGACAGAACTGAGTTAAGGAACTGTCCCCAGGTCTGCCGTTTTCTCTTTTCTGAAAGTGAAAAGAAATTACAGGATAGGCAGCTTCAAATGAAAACAGGCTGCAAAACATAAACACAACCTAACATTTTCCTGCTGCTGCTTCTCCTCAGTCAAAAATATTCAAACCAATCAACATTATACTTCTAGCACGTTGTAAACATAAATCAATGCTAAGACATGGGTTTTGTTATCAGACGTGCTATTTTAATAAGAAATACATTAATTCAATTAATTTTAAGACTCTACTGTTTTTGTCAGGTTACTTGTTGCCCTTTCCAGTCCCTCCTAAGCCATTTTGCTGAGGTTTATGGAGGACAAGGAGTCTGGGCAGCTCACAGGCTGACAGAAGACACTGAAAGACAGGGAAAAGGAAATCTAAAGGGATTTGTGCACAGGCAGAATCAGCTTCCTCCTCCTACAGAAAGCAGAAGAGATAGAGGGGTTCCACAAAGGAAAACCTCGATGAAAAGTACTTTGGCACTTTCCTCCTGTCTGGGAGTAGATAGGCAATAAGTCACTTCCTTGTGCTTTAACACCAGGCAGCAGCAGTTTGAGTCTGGACATCCAGAGTGTTCAGAATCCACTCCAGCTGCTGACAACTCAGCCAGTGAAATCAGATTACTTCCAGGCACGGAGATATCCATGCTGCTGGCACAGCACACACCTGGACCCAGTCCTGGGGACAGCAACTGCTGCCTGTGCACAGCACCATTTGTGTGAGAACATCCCTGAGAGACAGAGCCTGCCAGAACAGAGGTGAAGTGTGAGGAGTGACACAGGCAGTTTCAGCTTTCTCTAACAGTGAAACATTCAAATACTGTCACATAAGAAACCAATAAAGCAACAATCAAAGGAACATCCCAAAACCAAAAAGAAATCAGCAAAAGCAGAGCAGGTCTGTCAGTTCACTGGTCACTGCTGTGCCACTGGTTATCAACTCTGGAATGACACTCAGGAGTCAGTAACAGTTCTGCAGATAAGGAAAGATTCCCCTGTCACTGAAAGAATTGGGATAAAGGAGTCGATCTCTTCATTCAGATTTTAAGCACTTTTTGACCTTACTTCCAATTCTTTCATAAAGGAACTTTTGAGAACTGGCTTCTACACCTGCTACTGCAGCTCTCTCCCAATCTCACACCCTTCTCA